AAACCTGTAAATAGTGAAAAACGCGTGTGTTTAGCACTACTTCCACATCACCACATAAAAAAACACCCCAAAAACACAGGAAAATGCAATTTGGTAAACATGTCTATGAATTATTTGCATAGGACAGGCTTATAAACACAGAATTGTATGTAAAAAACACTTCTTTTTTGCAGAATTTGCAAATGTTGACACAAATCCAAAAAACCAAAAATCCAAAAACTCAAAACCATGGAGCCGGGAGGCCGCCTTTTTTGGATTTTTTGGTTTTCTCGAGGTTTTTTTGGTTTTCTTTGGAAAAATCCAAAAAAAACCATGTTTTTTTTGGATTTTACTTGCTCCTGGACTGAAAAACCTAAAAAACACATGCTTTTTTTTGGATTTTGAGTGAAAATCCAAAAAAACCCTCGTGTTTTTTTGGATTTCAGGTGCTCCTGGTCTCAGAAACTAAAAAAACACGAGGGTTTTTTTGGATTTTCACTCAAAATCCAAAAAAAACCATGTGTTTTTTAGGTTTTTGAGGCCAGGAGCAAGTAAAATCCAAAAAAAACCATGGTTTTTTTTGGATTTTTCCAAAAAAAACAAAAAAAAAAAACCTCGAGAAAACCAAAAAATCCAAAAAAGGCGGCCTCCCGGCTCCATGGTTTTGAATTTTTGGATTTTTGGATTTTTGTTTTTTTAGCAAATTTTGCAAAAAATGCATTTCTTGTATAAAGAATGTGTATTGTTATACGTTGTTTCTGCTAATGTGACTTGCACACACACAGAGAAAAGCACACAAACACACCCACCATTCGTTTTTTTTTCAATTCAGCCTATTCGGTATGCAGGGCGTGGCGTTAACATGTAAAGTTCCATTAGATTTAATTAAGAATGAGGCTTAGAAGAGGATGTCTTGGGATGTGGCGTCTTAATATGAAAAGTAATAAAAAAAAGAAATAGAGAGGGTTTCTTAGGGTGTGGTTCTTTTGAGGATGTGGACCTGCAATTCAAAAGTCTAATTGGACTTAAAAAAGAGTGGGGCTTCGAAGAGGATGTCTTGGGGTGTGGCCTCTTAATTTAAACGTCTATTTAAGTGGAATCACAAAGGAAGTCCAGTTGAGGATTTCTTAGGGTGTGGTGTTTTAGTGCAAACCTCAAATTACATTTCATTACGAAGAGGGGCCAGAGGAGACTTTCACAGGGTGTGGTCGGTAAAATAAAATTCCAAAGAGGTAGTAACGAATGAGGCTTAGAAGGGCGTGGCCTCTTAATTGTTTTACTTGGTTTGGTTTTACGAACGAAGCTGTGGCTTTACCATACACAGGTCTTAGGGTGTGGCCTTTTAAATTCTGTCCAAAGGGGTGTGGCCTCTAAACTTAAAATTCAATTTAAGTGGAATTCCAAACGAGTCCAGATGAGGATTTCTTAGGGTGTGGCGTTTTAATACAAACCTCAAATAACATTGTAGTATGAAGCGAGGCCAGGGGAGAATTTCATAGGGTGTGGTCTGCAAAATAGAATTCCAAATAGGTATTAACCAATGAAGCTTAGAAGAGGATGTCTTGTGGCGGGGCCTCTTAATTTGTTTGTTTGACTTGGGTTTAATTTACTAACGAAGCTATGGCTTTATCATATACAAGTCTATTGACATTTCACTAATAGGCACCAGAAGAGGATTTCATAGGGTCTAGCGGTTAAATATGGAATTGTAAGTACATTCAAATACGAATGGGGGCTCATGATATAAATTTCTGTCCAAGAGTTACATACGAACCTAGCCTAGGTCAGAACTTCTTAGGGTGTGGGCTTCTTACCTAGAATTATAAACTTCTTACGAGATTCTGTTACGAACAGGCCCCAGAATGGTGTGGCTTTTTTTAATACAAGCATCTTGGCAAATCGAAAATAAGTCTAATTACAAACGAAGGTCTAATGAGGATTTTTTGGCGTGTGGCTTTGTAATACAGAATTCTAATTAATCTTCATTACAAATAGGGGCCAGAAAGGGATTTCATAGGGTATGGTCTGCAATATGGAATTCTAACTCGGTTTCATTGCGAGGAGGATGTCCTGGGGTTGGCCTCTGAATATACACTTGCTTTACTTGGGTTCAATTACGAACGAAGCCCAGAAGAGGATTTCTTAGGGTGTGGGCTTACAATATGAAATCAAATTGCGTTTCATTACGAATGGGGCCAGCGAAAGATTTCACAGGGTGTGGGAAAAACAAAAATGTTCTAAATAGGTATTAATCAATGAGGCTTAGAAGAGGATGTCTTGGGGCTGGGCCTCTTAATATGTTTTTTTACTTGGGTTAATTACGAACGAAGCTGTGGCTTTATCAGACACAAGTCTACTGAAATTTCATTAAGAGGGCCCAGAAGAGGATTTCATAGGGTGTGGCCTTTAAGTATAGAATTCTTTTCGTAGGGTGTGGGCTTCTTATGTAGAAGCATTTTCTCAATAAAATAGGAAGGGAGCCCAGATGAGGATTTCTGAGGCTGTAACCTCTGCATATAAAGCTCTTGTGAGATTTTGTTACGGACAGGCAGGCCCCAGAAGAGGATTTCATAGGGTGCGGCTTTTAATTGGCAAATTTAGATTTCTAAAAAAAATTACTACGAATGAGGCCAGTGGCCTTTTAATTTTCATTCCGACTTAGGTTTAAATCTCTCTTCGATGGGCCCGAAAGGCCTTTCGACCTAGATCATGGGGGGGGGGGGTGAGCATATATATATATATATATATATATATATTTTTTTTTGGGTTTTTTTTTTTTGGGGGGGGGGGGGGGGGCGGTTGAGTTGATGGGCTTTTGGGGGCTTTGAGTTCATGGGTTTTTGGGGGTGTTTTGGCTTTGGGGTTTAGGTCTGGGCGTCGCCTTAAGGTTTGGGGGTTCAGAGATTCCGGTGCCTTAGCTGACGGTCTCAGTTTCAAGGCCTCAGGTTGCGGAAGAAGGAGCTAGAGTTCAAACTCTTGATGTCCCCGAAGGAAGTCCTGCACTCGGAAACCCTGCATAACGGTCCATCGTCCTGTGCTATCTGTGCACGTGGAGCACAGGTCATGTGACATCTCAGGGAGAGGTTCAGGGGCAGCCCTTTTGAAGTCTTTGTCCGCTTGAAACAGCTGAGGCTTTCGGGTTTAGGGTTTAGGCTTTAGGGTTTTGGGTTTAGGGTTTAAGGTTTAGGGTTTTGGGTTTAGGGTTTAGGGTTTAGGCTTTAGGCTTTAGGGGTTAGGGTTTAGGGTGCATCCACTGTGCACGGACCTGTTTCGCGCGAGAGACTCCTCGCGGAAGTCGAGAAAGCGTGTAGCCTCCTCAGCATGTGCGCCTCATGCTCCCTGTCCTCGAGTGGTTCCATGAGAAGCCTTCAACCCTAAACCCTAAACCCTAAACCCTAAACCCTGAACCCTAAACCCTAAAACCCTAAACCCTAAACCCTAGTAGCCCTAAATCTTAAGAAAGGTTCCAGCATGTAGGGTGGCCCAGCATGCAGAATATTCTTCACCTTTTCAAGTGCGCGTGGCAGCTTAACAGTGTCAAGCTCAAATGCTTTCGGCCGAGCTCTTCACCACGAGGAACATCGAGGCCCCACTTTTAATGCCGCACCATCTGAGCGCCCTGCAGTGATCAAGAGTCTTGCTGTCGTAAACCAACTCCGTGTTCCGTGGTGGGAGGCCTAGCTGTTCGCAGGCTTGCCTCCTGAAATCTCCGCAACTCGAATGGCGCCCGACGTTCACCGTCGTGCTCGCTCCTGACATCACGTAGACCTGAATGCTGATGTCCCCCGGCACATAAGCTGCTTTGGTCTGAGGGCCACTGGGCATGAGTTGCGCGGCCTTTCGTTGTCCAAATGGCAGAGGCGGCGTGCCCCAGTCAGTGCGTCGCCAGCACACGATGCGCTTGCGCGGCATTGCTGCACGTCTACTGACTACTGTGATCTACGACGGCTAAAGCTGACAAGGTCTTGGGACACCACAAACTGCCAGAGCACAAGAACTGACGCCACAAGCTCACAGCTCACATTTTGCGAAGCTCTCAAGCAGCAAGGTTTTGGGTTTAGGGTTTAGGGTTTAGGGTGTAGGGTTTAGGGCTTAGGGCTTAGGGCGCAGGGAACACCCTGCTTCCCAGATCGCACCTTCGAAACTCGAAGGACGACAGCTTCACGTCTTCCGCTTTGGGAACGAGGTGCCTCAGGTTCTGCGAAGGGTCTCGAGTCCAGGGTTTAGACCCCCGTAAAAACCTAAGCTCTATCCCTAAGTTTTAAACTTAGGGTTTCGGGTTTAGCGTTTCGGGTTCAGGGTTGCTTAGATCTTGCGTTTATCCTTCTTGGCGTGGCTGGCTTTGCTTTGGCTCGTTCTGAGTCGGGTTTGGGTGGTCTCGGGTCGTCACGCTCTTGCCTCCAGCTGACCAATGGCACACTGAAGAACCCTAAACCCTAGAGACCCCGGACCCCTAAACTTAGGGACAGAGCTTAGGTGTTACGGGGTCTAAACCCTAAACCCTCGACCCCAAACCCGAAACCCGAAACCCTAAACCCTAAACCCTAAACCCTGAACCCTAAACCCTAAACCCTAAACCTCTCCTGGCTTCTGCCCATGAAGGAGCATGGGCCTTTCTTTTTCTGTGGCCGCGATTTGGGAAATCAAGTCCTCGAGTTTGAGTGTGGGCAACCCGTTGGGAGCTTAGGATTTAGGGCTTAGGGAATGGAAGAAAAGGATCCGGGGATCAATGAAGCGCCAAGCGTTCTCCCCAGAGACTCCAAAACCCCTTAATTAAGGAATATACCTTAAATCATATGAGGGTTCCTATTCTAATCTAAGGTATATTCCTTAATTAAGGGGTTTTGGAGTCTCTGGGTCCACAGCCGCTGCCTGAAGTTTAAGGCAGAGATAAATAGCCATGTTGGCACATGAACCTATGCTGGAGGCTTGAAGGGTTGCTGGCTCCAGCTGAAAAACTGAAATCACAACTGGGGTTTGGAGTTTAGGGTTTAGGGTTTAGGGTGTAGGGTTTAGGGTTTAGGGTTTAGGGTTTAGGGTTTAGGGTTTAGGGTTTAGGGTTTAGGGTTTAGGGTTTAGGGTTTAGGGTTTAGGGTTTAGGGTTTAGGGTTTAGGGTTTAGGGTCTAGGGTTCACTTGCGCAGCTTGGCCGGTTTGCTGCGTTGGCGTGGCAAGGCGACCGTCATCTTCTGCCGCGGCATTCCCGTCGAGAGCCGCTGGCAAGGTGGTTTAGGGTTGTATAGGGTATGTAAGGGGTAAATACGGGGGATATAAGGCGTACGTAAGCGGGATATATAGGGGGTATAGAGGGGGCGTACCTACCCCCAGTTAGAGTACGGGACCGTGAAACTACCCTAAGAGCCTTTGGGGAGTAGAATTTGGGGTTGTTGCTTCCCTAAGACCCAACACCTACTGTTTGCTCAAGAACCCCAAAAGAATAAAAGTATAAAATCCCTAGAATACCCTGAAGAAAGAAGGAAGATTTGTTTTTAATGTTTTCGGGGCTCTTAAGCAATTCGTAGACACCCCAACCATCCTAGACCCTGTGACCAGGCGAGCCGGGATGATTCGGGGAGTTGGTGTCCAAACCTTGTTCTGCCGAACGGGGCCATCTTGGGGCAGTTTCTTGGTCCCTTGATATGGGCCCTTACATGGTGACCCCCTATATACCCCTTATGTACCCTGTACAGGCCTAACCCAACACCCTAAAAAGCCTACGCTGGCAAAGATGGCGACAAAATTCTGCTAAACCCCAAACCCTAAGACTTAGACTTTAGCCACTCTTAAGCCTAAATTGCAAGGCAGATCAACGCCCATTGTAACCCGCATGAACACCCTGTCAAACCCTGAACCTTCAACCCTCACTGCTTCGACAACCCAAAAAGGCCTACAGCCCAAACCCTAACCCTAAACCCTCAACCCTCAACCCTCAAACCCTCAACCCTAAACCCTAAACCCCAAACCCCAAACCCTAAACCCCAAACCCCAAACCCTAAACCCTAAACCCTAAACCCTAAACCCTAAAGCCCAGACCTCACGCGGACGGTGCCACACCCAGGGTCCGAGCGCGTTCTTCAGCAGCGGCTGCAGAAACCAATCCGGCAACCTCTATGACTCTAAGGGTTTAGGGTTTAGGGTTTAGGGTTTAGGGTTTAGGGTTTAGGGTTTAGGATTTAGGGTTTAGGGTTTCGGGTTTAGGGTTTAGGGTTCAGGGTTCAGGGTTTAAGTTTTAGGTGTGAGGCTTTAGGTTTTACGGTGGATGGTTTAGGGTTTAGGGGTAGAAGCCGTAGGGTTACTTAATGGTTCTTACTTTACTGTTCATGGGCAATTGTAAGTCGGGTTTTGACTATCCCCAAGCAAGGCTCTGACCGGTTAGAAGCAGAATTACCCTTACGGATACTCACAGTTACGCCCGTAAAGTTGAAAGTGGACTCTACACCCTCAACCCCACGAAACAAACGCCGAAGTGAGCCCGGCTCGCTCGTAGCGTGGAACTCTAATGGTGGAGGGTTTCGGGTTTAGGGCTAGAGTTTCCCAAATTAGGGGTACCTTACTGGGGTCTCTTATTCTAAGGGAATCCTACGATTTGGGGGTCCCCTATTTTCAAAATCAGGGTTTTTGGGGTGCCTTACTAGGTCTCTTAGTATAAGGGAATCCGACTATTTGGGGGGTCTATTTTGGGGGGGGGGGGGGGGCCACTTTTCGCACACCCCCTAATCGCAAGAGATCAGCTTGCCTGTTCGGTCACTGCCTGATACAACACATGAACGGGCACTTCTCCAAATTGTAGTCGTCCCTTTTTTGGCCCCCTTGTCACAAGGACCTCCCCACAAGAAAAGGGACCCTAATTTAGAGAACCCCCTCCCCCTCTCCCCCAACTACTTGTGTGGGGGGCGGGTCTTCGGCCCATTGGAGGTTTCTTAACCCTACTTTGGACTACACCCTGAAAAATATGAAATTTTAGGGTAGCTTTTATAGGAACACAGAACCAAAAAAAAGTCTTCAAGTATAGTACTCCAAAACCCATGAAGGGTAGCTACCTAGGGAACCATAGGGAACCGTAGGGAACCGCAGGGAACCTCAGGGAAGCAGCCTTAAGGAGAAGTGGGGAGTGTAAGGGAACCTTGGGTTACAAACCCCCTTGAACCCCCCTCCCGTAGGAACCCCACAATCATGAAGATTCTGCTCAGGGCATCCCTCGTCTGTGCTCGCGCTTCCGAAAAAGCTGTCTTCGTCAAGCTGGGAACGGAACCCTGCCCTTGACAATCAACCCCGGGACCAAAAGCCTTCAAAGTACTCCCCGAAACCACTCAACCCCAAAGCCTGAAACCCTTACACACCCAAACCATGGATCCAAAGACCCTAAACCCTAAACCCTAAACCCTAAACCCTAAACCCTAAACCCTAAACCCTAAACCCTAAACCCTAAACCCTAAACCCTCGCCGCGCATCTTGGGGCGCGGCACATCCGGCATCTTCTCCTTGGGCCTTGGCCACCAGAGTTCGAGGTTCGGGGTCTCGGGGTCTCAGGATCTACGGTTTAGGGTTTCGGGTTTAGGGTTTAGGGTTTAGGGTTTAAGGTTTGGGGTTTGGGGTCTAGGGAGAATAAAAAGTCCGAAAGTCCGAGGGCTGCGGGTTTGGTCGACCCTAAATGGTGGTTACCTTACTGGGGAGGGGGTCCATTTTAGGGTCCCCTATTTTCGTAAACCCCCCTTCCTCAACCCTAACCAACAACCCTGAACCTCGAAACCCTGCATAAGCCCCCAAAGCCGAAAAGTGAATGGGATCTGGGTTTAGGGTTTAGGGTTTGAGGGTTTGAGGGTTTTAGGATTTTAGGATTTTAGGGTTTTAGGATTTTAGGGCTTTAGGCTTTCAGGGTTTCAGGGTTTTTGGGTTTAGGGTTTAGGAGCTAGGTTTAGGGTGTAGGGATTTAGGGTTTAGGCCTTTGGTTTTTTTGGGTCCAAATTGGCTCGAGAGCAACTGGACGAAATTTTGACACACACACACACACACACACACACACACACACACACCCCACACACCCCACACAAGCGCTCCGCGACAGCCTCTTCTGCATCGCAGTCGGACGGTACCCGCGTCACGCTCAAGGAACCAAAGCGGCGTTGAAGCATGCCCAAGACCCTGCCTCCGTGGGCGACGCGATGTCCGCCTAGATAGAAAGAAAGAACAAGAAAGACGACGCGCGCAAGAGCCAATAGGCGCACGGAAGCCTCTTGGTCCGGCGGCGGCAGCTCTGGGACCGAGCGCAGCCTCTTTGTAACTACAACATGTTCATGCAACTCTAGAAATTATGAAGAGCATCATCAATTAGTTTGTTCATTTTCTTGCGCCGATACGCCAATGCCTTGAGCTCATTCTATGGTGGGAGGAAAAGAGGGCGGACATTCATATCCACCCACAAACCTGTCATCCGATAGTAGTTTTGTGTATCTCACTGTTGAAACAGATGTGTGAGACGATCGGCACTCCTGAAAAACATTAGCGCGGGAGTATAGAACAAGCAAGCCAAAGCTTGAGATGTAGGTTTTGAGCTTTTGGCTTTGTGAGTTACGCAAGCACACAGTAGAAATATTTGAAGCCGCAAGCACAACCAGTTTATAGAACAACTGAGAAGACTGCACGCATGCCGCCGGTGCTCTGTCGAGGTCACCCATGTCCTGCCACTGCAAAAGCTTCTTCCTTACACACAACAGGTACAACTGGCCTCGCACCTCTGTCACAGGCTCGGGTATTTGCGGACGAGCTGCCTCGAGAGCAAACGTCGAAACACCGTTTCATTGAGCAGACTAGCAATCAGACCTCGAAAATGCCGTGCAGCTTCTCAATCACCGGCCTGTCAGATGCCGGCGCCGGCCCCACCTTATGAAAGGGCACAACAGTGCTCAGCGTAATTGATTCAAGCTCACTGTCCTGCCTGTGTAACTCCACGTTTCTTTGCTTGGAGGGCCTGCCAAAAAAAAACACTGGACCTGCACTAAAGCCTTTCTCACCGACGCCGTGGACAACAAGCGTGCGTGGACCAGTCCCAAGACCAGCCCCCCAAAGCCTTTCGCACCGACGTTGTGGACAACAAGTGCACGTGGACCAGTCCCAAGGTTGACCAGCCCCCCAAAACCTTTCGCGCCGATGTTGTGGACAACAAGCGTGCGTGGACCAGTCCCAATGTTGACCAGCCCCCCAAAGCCTTTCGCACCGACGTTGTGGACAACAAGCGTGCACGGACCAGTCCCAATGTTGACACCTTCACACACACAAACCAACCAGTCTGTCAGTCCTCCAACGCTCGCAGCACGTCCAAGTCCTGCTGTGGCACCCTGAGTAGAAGCAAGAATCGGCCACAGACGACCAGTTCATGAAACAAGCCTGGAGTTTCAAAATATTGAACATGTCACGTACGTGCACAGACCTGAAACCAAGACAAAGCCAAGCCCGCAACAACGAACGCGGAGGACCCCTCGGGTGCCTCAGGTGCCAAAGTCGTGACTTCTGGAGTCTTTTATAACGCTATTGCACTGTCCTCTTTATTTTTCATGCTCGTCGGCTCTGGTTCAAAACTTCGACTTCCAGCGCAAGCTCACGAACGCCTCAACCTTCAATCCACAACAGGCGCCCCACGCTGGCAGGCAAGCATCCTGCCCGTTCGCCCTCAGTTTACTGCAGGACCCAGTGCTAAACAACTAGCAAAACCAAAAGTTGAGACTAATTAAACAGCATTGCGTCGATCAGCAAGAAAGCAAGCAATTCAACCACAAAACTGCGCAACAACAGTACCAAGGCATCCGCGTGTTGCCCGTTTCCGCATGTTTGGCCTTGTTCATCTCCTGAGGTAAACACGTCTGTCATACACACCTAGAATGCCCAAATATGAAAAAGCTACAATAGAAACGCAAGCACAACCTACACAACTGAGACAGAGACTTTACGCGACCGGAAGAACCGTTGGCGTACGGAGGTGAACTGCAAAGGACATACATACTCCGCGGTTTCAGCATGCGCACATTGTTACACTAGACCATGCCTGCGTGTTGAGGCGGCCGTTAAGGACCTTAAAAAAATCAAGCAGAGAAGACCGACGACAACACTCGCATTACAGGCGCTCACGCCGGCAGGTCAAGACAGAGGACGCAGTGGACTGTTCGAGTTTAGGATGGGTCGATATGGCTCCCAATTACAGAAGGGGACCCGATTGTCGCCCGGAGATTGAGGCTGCGTTGCTCATCGCAGCAAGATTGCAAAGCTGTGGCATACTGGGGAGTTTCAGGAAGTTGACAACCCCTCCCAACAATCCGCCGGTTTTGGACGACGCCATCAAAGATAGGGAGGGATGTTATTGAGGCACCTGGAGGTCGTGTTCACAGCCCTCAAGTCGAAAGGCACCGAGCGTGTTCAGGCCACTAGCTTCCCTTTCGCAGACTGTTGCTTCTCTGACGCAGCGCGGTTCGACTTCTCAAGAGGTCCAGTCGCGTGCATAAGAAATAAATCACGCGGAGATTTGGATGGCAGAAATGACCCCCTCATTCCGCTAACCATAATCGCTTCTCAGTCATCGTCGCTAAACCGTAGCCTTTATGATTTAGGGGACTAAACCATAGTCGCTAAACCATAGTCGTCAAACCATACTCGCTAAACCACATACTTCAACCATTGTCTTTATGATTTAGCCGCTAACCCGTATGCCTAAACCACATTCTTTACGATTTCTAAACCGAAAGTTAACTTCCGAGGACGTGGGCAGGGATTATCATTCTATTGGCCAGTACTGGTCGAGCTGCCCCTATGCCTAGCAGTGGCACCACTCCACCGTTGCTGCGCGAACTTAATTTGCCACATGGCAAGTGCTCCGTATGTGCGATGCCCTAAGCAAACGGTCGTCAAGCAGTTAGGCTGGTGGGACCAGCCACGCTTGAGTGTCGGGCTTGGAATTTAGGGTTTAGTGCTTGGGGGTTAGGATTTAGGCTTTAGGGTCCAGTGTCGGAGCTGTCGTAATATTGCTTTCGGGACGACCCCTCACGTCATCCTTGCGTAGTTTCAAGATAAACAAACGCAAACCAAATCTACATCAACTCTTCCCCGGGAAAAAACCACAGAGCATCGCCCAAAAGCAATCCATCCTACTTGTTCCAGGATATTGCTCCTGAACCCTGAACCCTGAACCCTAAACCCTAAACCCGAAACCCTAAACCCTAAAACCTAAACCCGAAACCCGAAACCCTAAACCCTAACCCTAAACCCTAACCATAAACACTCCCTTCAGCCAATACATGTGGTTCGGGCCTAGAGTTTAGGATTCAGGGTTCAGGGTGCAGGGTTTAGGGTTTGGGGCTTAGGGTTCAGAATGCGGCCGCCCCACTTGCAACCCTACTTGAATTCTCATGGGTCGTGGTATGCAGGGCAAGAAGAAGTACCTCAAAAACGATGAAAATGAGTCAAGACCACAACTGGGAGGCCTAAACCCTGAACCCTAAACCCTGAACCCTGAACCCTGAACCCTAAACCCTGAACCCTAAACCCTGAACCCTAAACCCTGAACCCTGAACCCCAACCTTTGCTCAGCCCGGCGCAGCCTCTCGTGCCTCGGCGCTGGCAGTCTAAACCCTAAACCCTCACCACTTTTGCAAGACGTTGAACCTAAACCCTAAACTCTAAACCTCAACCCTAAACCCTAAACTCTCACCCCTAGACCCCCTACATTCTGAGCCCTAAACCCTAAACCCTGGGCTCCAATCCCCAAGTCCTGAATTCCGAACCTTCATCCCCAGAGTCCCAAACCCTCACGGCCCTAAACCCTAAACCCTGAACCCTAAACCCTAAACCCTAAACCCTAAACCCTAAACCCTAAACCCTAAACCCTAAACCCTAAACCCTAAACCCTGAACTGCGAGAGGCCACTGCGGATGCCCCGGGGGCTCACAGAGCTTCGGGAGGGGGAGTTCACAGGAGGGGGGGGAGGACTACCAGGGTTTAGGGTTGAAGGTTTGGGGTTTAGGGTTTAGGGTTTGGGGTTTAGGGTTGAAGGTTTGGGGTTTAGGGTGTAAGGGTTGGCTGAGTTTAGGGCTTCGGGCTTGGGGGTTCAGGGCTTAGGGGTTATAGTTACACCCGTCAATGTCTCCGTACCCAAAAACCAGAAACGAAGGGCGCCAGAAGACAGCTTGGAATTGAGATCAGATTCCTGAAGCAACCCGAAACCCTAAACCCCAAACCCCAGACCCTAACCCCTTAACCCCAAACCCCTAGACCCCACAAACCCGAAACCCGGTACTCCGGCGCCGACGCCGCTGTGCTGAGGCGCCGGCGACATTCGGCACAAGGGCCCCATCTTGCAGAAGCCCATGCCTCTCCAGCATCCGAATTACAGGCCCTGAATTTGGGCCCCTGCTATATAAATACCCTTATTTACACTGTGAGTTATAAGGGCCCATACTGCTTAGAGGGCCTGGGGACTGTTTAGGGTTTTGGGGTCTTTTGGGGTTTTGGGGGTTTTGGGGGTTTGGGTGTTTTGGGGGTTTGGGGGTTTGGGGGTTTGGGGTTTGGGGTTTGGGAGTTTGGGAGTTTGGGGCTTCGGGAAGGGCCGAAGCCATAGAGCTACGGGGAACAACGTGTTTCCCATATTTACAGTCGATGCCGCGCAAAAAACTGAAAAAAGATCTCCTAAACCCTAAACTCCAAACCCGAAACCCCAAACTCTAAACCCTAAACCCTAAACCCTAAAACCCTAACCCCAAACCCTAAACCCTAAACCCCAACCAGAATTTTGCTGGGCCCCGCGCGGTATCTGGGGCACTCCTGTCGCCTCGGGGGCACACGGGGGCTTCCCTGCACTTCCCAACTCAGGCCCGAAGCTGCTCAACCTTAAGCCGGTTTAGGTTTTAGGGTTTAGGGTTTAGGGCTGGGGTTTAGGGTTTAGGGTTTAGGGTTTAGGGTTTAGGGTTTAGGGTTTAGGGTTTAGGGTTTATGGTTTCGGGTTTCGGGTTTAGGGTTTAGGGTTTAGGGTTTAGGGTTTAGGGTTTAGGGTTTAGGGTTTAGGGTTTAGGGTTTAGGGTTTAGGGTTTAGGGTTTAGGGTTTAGCTGGCCTTTTAAGACAAAAAACAGGGATAAAAGAACCCAAAGCGAGGTCGGGGTTATGACCAGCTACACCTACTTCTATCTTTCTTAGAACCCCGTTTCTAACTGCTCGGAACCTGCAAGCAAGCACCTGTGACCCTAAAGCCTAAAACCCGAATTATTTACATTGACGTTCCCACCCTAAAACCAAGCAGAGTGAGGGGAAAAATGGCTCTTTAAGATTTGTTTGCTCTTAAAAAAATTGTTTTTACTCTCTGCAGGTATCATCTGGGATTGGGCGCTACTCCAGTGATGCTCTATGGCCATCCGGGGCAGGCAGGCACTCCCGTCTTACCCTGCGGGATTCTCTTCCTAAACTGTAAACCCTAAACCCTAAACCCTAAACCCTAAACCCTAAACCCGAAACCCTAAACCCTAAACCCGAACCCCTAAACCCTCACCCCTAAAACCCTAACTAACCTCCTAAACCCTAAAACCTACATGGGCATGCCGGGACTCCAGGATACTCCGCTGATTCTTTCGGACTAGGACATTAGCGGAGTGCAGATCGAACAACCCAACACCAACAGTGGGGAATGAATCCCAAACCCTAAACCCCTAAAACTCCTAAAACCTCTGAACCCCTAAAACCCCTAAAAACCCTAAAACCCTAAACCATAAACCCTAAACCCCTAAACCCCTGAACCCCTAAACCCCAAACCCCCAAACCCCGCCAAACCTGAAAGCTGCATCTACGGCTTCGGGCCCCTAAACCCTAAACCCTAAACCCCAAACCCCTAAACCCTAAACCCCCAAACCCCTAAACCCTAAAGCCCTAAACCCTAAACCCTAAACCCCCAAACCCCGAAACCTCAAAAAAAGGCTTAGGGTGCCCAGCTCGCTCGCGGCCACGTGCTTGAAGAGGCAGTCTCGGTCGTAGCACTTGCCGGTCTGCCGCATCGGAAGTGGCGCACGGAGGGGCAGCGGGGGGTGGGCTTCAATGTGGTTTAGGGTTTAGGGTTTAGGGTTTAGGGTTTAGGGTTTAGGGTTTAAGGTTTAGGGTTTGGGGTTTAGGGTTTAAGGTTTAGGGTTTAGGGTTTAGGGTTTAGGGTTTAGGGTTTAGGGTTTAGGGTTTAGGGTTTAGGGTTTAGCTCAATGTAGGGAGGGCTCTGCAATAAAGCAGAATGGGCAACGGCGACTTCTAGGGCTTAGGGCGTTTAGGGTTTTGGCCGAAACCGGGGCACCTTTTGGTACAACCCTATAACAGACACCCCCCCAAGGCCCATGATGTAGGGCACCCTAAATACATAGACCCCACACCCGAAATTCCTAAAACCCTGAACCGCTCACCCTATACCCCTCAATCTACCCCCTAAATATCCCAGGAGGTCCCTTGAAAGGATCCCTCCTTTAGTCCCTTGACTAAAACGTATACCTACGGCCATCTACCAGTCGGCCTTGAGAAAGAACAAGCACTCTGGCATGCGATTGAGGTCGAACTGGTGCAGGTAGTCGCACTTGTCGCCTGGCAGTAGGGTTTAGGGTTTAGGGTTCAGGGTCATGCTCCTCAAAAGGGCGTGCTGGGCGGGGGCTTTGGCCTCCCAAGCCCAGGCAGCCTGAAGCCCTTAACACCCTGAACTGCGACAGCTTTGGGCGGAGCAAACCCCAAACACTAAATCCTGAACCCTGAACCCTGCCCTCTGAACCCTGAAGCCTAAACCATGAAACGAAACCCTAAACCCTGAACCCGGAACCCTAAACCCTGAAACCTAAAACCCGGGACCCTGAACCCTGAAACCCAAAACCCTGAACCCTAAAGCCTAAACCCTGAATCCTAGAACCCTGAGCCCTGAACCCTACCCGCCTTTCATGCAGAGGCCCCTCAGCCAGTGGCGACAAACCGTGCGCGAGCCTTCGGGCGGCCGGGCTGGGGGAGCAGATAGGAGCAGGGTTTAGGGCTTACGGGTTTGTTTAGGGTGCAGGGTGTAGGGTGTAGGGTTTAGGGCTTAGGGTTTAGGGCTTAGGGCTTAGGGCTTAGGATTTAGGGCTTAGGGTTTAGGGTGTAGGGTTTAGGGCTTCGGGCTTGGGGCTTTAGGGCTTTAGGGTTTAGGGTTTAGGGTTAGGGCTTCGGGCTTAGGGTTTAGGGTTTAGGGCTTATGGAAATTGTATAGGGCTTGGGTCCCAATAACGTTTTGACCGAAACGTTTTGACCGAAAGTTTTGACCGAAACGTTTTGACAGAAGTTTTGATTTTGCACCTGCACCACCAGGAGGGGGACGGGAGGGGGAGATGGGAAGGGGGCTGGAGGGAGGGTGGGGGACGGGCTGGGGAGAGGGAGGGGGGCTGGGGAGGGGGGGGGAAGGGGGGGCAAGGGGGGGGGAGTGGGCGGCCTTGTTTCGTTGGGATGGCCGGTCCTGCACAACAGTACAGATGCTTCACATTGTTGTAGTAGTTTTGTAGCGTGCCCTCCTCCACGCGGACGAATTGACGGCTGTGTCCTTTAAGCCATCCTCGCCATGGAAGGACCTGTCGAAACTTCAGAGTTTGGGTTTGAGGGCAGTGTTTTTAGCAAGGCTGCCTCTCCAGGTTTGGCCGCCATCCCTTCGTGGGAACAGGCTCCGGCGCCGGCTCGGGCTTTGCCTGGCTCCGCGTGTTTTGGCGAATACTTTGCACTGATGTGCTGCGGCCTCGAGGTCTTCCTTCGGTCTTGGCTCTGACTCGGGTTCGAATTGAACCTCGCAGGTTACGCAGGTTAAACAAAAACAATGTTACTTGAAAGAATGGGGTAGTGACAGAGGACAGCAGGTCTTGAACCAGTTGCTGCGATGAAGAAGGCTTCAAGGTTGTGAGAATGTGCTGTTAAATCAGCTTCATGTACTCTGCACTGATTTTTTGGGGTGGTGGGGTAGGTTTGTAATATTTCAGGCCTATCGACCCTTCTTGAGGACTTGTGAAAGCCCTAACTGGTCAAAGATCACAAAAATATTGGGGGAGTTTCCAAGGCCGGCAACGAAAGGAAAATTCCTATGTTTTGGCCTTAATTCAGGGCTTGCGAAGGCCCAAAATGGTCGACAATCACAAAAATTGTAAACTTGTGGAGTTTACAAGGCCGCCAATTTAATCAGGGAAAATCCCTGTGTTTTTGCCTTAATTCAGGATTTGCGAAGGCTCAAAATGGTCAAAAATCTCGAAAATTTACCATTTTGGTGGTTTCCACGGCCGTCAAAGCTCCGTTCAACCTCAGCCCCCAAAGCCTGACTTACAACTCGGAATGTCAATGGGGTTTCAGGTGGCTCGGGCCTAAGAACTGCTACTTAAGGTACCCCCTGAACCCTAAACCAAGGCCAGGGCTTGTGAAAGCAAATCCCTGTGTTTTAGCCTTAGTTCAGGGTTTGTGGCCCAAATGGTCAAAATTCACGAGAATTTGCCATTTTGGTGGTTTCCAAGGCCGCCAATCTAGGGAAAATCCCTTGTTTTGGCCTTAATTCAGGTTTTGTGAAGGCTCAAAATTGACAAAAACCACTAAGATTTACCATGTGGGTAGTTTCCAAGGCCGTCAACGTAGGGAAAATCCCTATGTTTTGGCCTAAAGTGAAGGCCCAAAATGGTCAAAAATCAGAAGAATTGTACTTTTGGGGAGTTTCCAAGGAGGGAAAATCCCTGTGTTTTGGCCTTCATTCAGGGTTCGCAAAATCCCCATGTTTTTTGGCCTGGCTTCTGGGTTTGTGAAAGCCCAAGATGGTCAAACATCACTAAAATTAGCCAAGGCCGCCAAACTAGGGAAAATCCCTATGTTTTGGCCTTAATTCAGGCTTTGTGAATGGTCAAAATCAATGCAATTGGCCATTTGGGGGATTTCCAAGGCCGCCAAACTGAGGAAAATCCCTGTGTTCTGGCCGTCGTTTTGGTGGTTTCCAAGGCCGCTAATCTAGAGAAAATCCCTATGTTCTTGCCTTAATTCAGGTTTTGTGAAGGCTCAAAATGGACAAAAATCACCGTTTGCAAAGCCACCAACCAGCAACACCTTCAACAATTGCACAACACTCTTATCGCCCCAAGCTATCATCAAAAACACCCCGCAAGCCCCTCACAAAACCCACCTGCTACTAAAACCTCCCTCCCAAAACCCTACTCAAGTCTACAGACCTGAGTACTGCAAACCCAGAAAGAACAAACAAATCCTGCCAACAAGTATACTTTAAAACCTACCTAGCCCTCATAGCACCGTTCAAACCCTCCCGAACCCCAAGTCCCAAAAAAACCCTAAACCCTAAACCCTAAACCCTAAACCCTGAACCCTAAACCCTAAACCGTAAACCCTAAACCCTAAACCCTAAACCCTAAACCCAAGCCCCCAGTCCTCGGTTCAGGGCCCCTTCCGCTGAGGTCAAGCCCTCAGCCTGAGTAGGGGAGGTGTGGGCTTTTCCGGCCTACACTTTGGGAGTTCGGGGCTTAGGGGGTTAGGGTTTAAGGTTTAGGGTTTAGGGTTTAGGGTTTAGGGTTTAGGGTTTAGGGTTTAGGGTTTAAGGTTTAAGGGCCAGGGCTTGTAGAAGTAGCATTTAGGGTTGAGGGACTCAGGAACTGTTGGTAGTCGGGCTTTAGGGACTTGAGGGTTCAGGGTTTGAGGGCTTCAGGGTTTAGGGTTTAGGGTTTAGGGTTTAGGGTTTAGGGTTTAAATAGGGTTTAGGGTTTGAGGGTTTGAGGGCTTTAGGGGTTTCACAGGGACTGAAGGCTTCACGCTTGGGAGGGGAGATGGGGGGTGAGGGGGGGCAGAGCCCCTTCAAGGGACCCCCAAGACAGGGTCGTGAACCTGTTGAACCTTGAGACCCCTAAACCCCAAACATAGATCCTTACCTCCCCCCCCCCCCACCCCTTCAAACCCGCATCCTAAACAAGCACAAGCACTTGCGGTTGAGGTGCACAGAGTCCTTACACCTCAGACCCCTAACCCTGGATCTCGGAACCCTAAACACCCTAAAATGCCTACAAACTCTCTAAGCCGTAAAAACCGCAAAGGACCTCTAAAAACCTGAAAACTCTTAAAACACCAATAACCCTAAAACAAAAAAACCCAAACCCTAACCCAAGCCTAAAAACCCTAAGAACCCTGTAAAAGCCTTGAGCGCCCTAAGACTTAAACCCTACTTGGAGGTCCATGCGCACTTATCATGCCAACTATAACTGCACTTATAAGACCCCTAAGTCCCCTAAGCAGCTTATACGCCTTCTGGTTGGGGATATTATAAGTACCCTGCACCTCCTAAACCCTAAACCCTAAACCCTAAACCCTAAACCCCAAACCCTAAACCCTAAACCCCAAACCCCAAACCCGAAACCCTAAACCCTAAGCCCTAAGCCCTAAGCCCTAAACCCTAAACCCTAAACCCTAAACCCTAAACCCTACCCAAAGAACCTCCTCCGCTTTAGAACCCCAAAAACCGGATCGTCTGCGGAGCGACTCGTAGGCTCTCCTCGCGGTCTGCATCCTTGGCCTCGATATCCTCCTGGAAGGATTTGGGGGTTTAGGGTTTAGGGTTTAGGGTTTAGGGTTTAGGGTTTAGGGTTTAGAGGGTTTAGAGGGTTTAGAGGGTTTAGAGGGTTTAGGGGGTTTTTGGGTTTTTGTGCCTTTGAGGGTTTTGGGGCTTTGTGGTTTTCGGGTTTTAGGTTCGGAATTGGGGCTTTGAGTTCTTGAGGGTTGGGGTTTTTAGGGTTTTTGAGTTTTTCAATTTCAGGGTTTAGGGTTTGGGGTTATGGGGTGTTAGGATTTTGGGCTCAAGGGGTTTGGGGCTTCGAGTCTGGGCTTTAAAGGGTATTAGGGCTTAATGGTTTAGGCTGTTGTTCCGAAAGGCGGCTTTTGGAGGCTCTAGGGTTTTGGGGTTTTGGGGTTCTAGGGTTTTGGGTTTAGGGTTTAGGGTGTAGGGTTTAGGGTTTAGGGTTTAGGGTTTTGGGTTTTGGGGTTTTGGAGTTCTAGGGTTTCCGGGGTTTTCGGGTTTTAGGGTTTTGGGGCTTAGGGTTTTAGGTTTTAGGGCTTGATATTTGGGATTTGGGGCTTTAGGATTTGGGGTTCAAGGCTTTTGAAGGGTGGGTTTAGGGTTTAGGCCAATCCCCTCACCCCTCTGCCGTATCATAGAATGGGGCGCACAAACTCCAAGCTTTGCACTCTGCCTGCCCATTAACAGCTGATGGACACTGGGCAGCTGCGGAAAAATCTTCAGCACCCTAAGCCCTAAACCCTAAACCCTAAACCCTAAACCCTAAACCCTAAACCGAACAATGAGAAGCATTGCCTGTTGAGGGCCTAGCGCAGATGTAGCAGCAGTTGCTCTGCAGCTGCTCTGGCGAAGAGTAGCATCTAGTGCCCAACACTTCCACATCCGATCGGACCACCGCCAGAAGTGCTGGCACCGGATCGGACCATAAGGCGTCTTATACAAGAGCTGCGGGTAAAACCACATCTAAACCCTAAACTCTAAACCCCAAGAACCCAAAACCTTAAGAACCCCAAGTTCTAAAGAACCCCAAACCCCAAACTCCCAACTCTAGATGCCCCCCTAAAACCCAAACCCTAAACCCCCAAAACCCTAATTAAACCATGAACTCCAAACCCTAACCCTACACCCACACCCCCAAAACCCCAAACCATAACAAATTCAAACCCACAAACCCCAAACCCCAAACCCTAGACCCTCAGCCCCAAAACCTCGAACCCTAAGAACCCCCCAAAACCCCAAACTCCAAACCCCAAACCCTAAACCCCAAAACCCCAAAACCCCAAACCCTAAACCCCAAACCCTAAACCCTAAACCCCAAACCCTAAACCCCAAACCCTAAACCCCAAACCCTAAACCCCAAAACCCCAAAACCCCAAACCCTAAGAACCCCAAACTGTCGCGACCCCCCCAACTGCATGCGCCTCGAAGTCAAAGCTAACGGAGTCCATGTCTTTGACACCACCCAGGCCTTTAAAGGCTTTAGGGTTTAGGGTTTAGGGTTTAGGGTTTAGGGTTTAGGGTTTAGGGTTTAGGGTAAGGCTTCTAGGAATTCTTGGGCTGTTGGGGCTTTTGGCACCACCCGGACCTTCAAGGCTTCTGGCTGTTTAGGGTTTTTTAGGGTTGCTTAGGGCTTTTAGGGTTATTGAGGGCTTTTGGGGTTTAGGATTTAGGGTTTTAGGGTTTTAGGGTTTTTTAGGAGGGTCTAGGGTTTGGGGGGTTTAGGGCTTTTAGGGTCTCGGGCTTTTAGGGTTTATAGGGTTGTTTAAGGTTTTTGAGATTGTTTAGGGCTTTTATAGGGTTTGAGGTCTGGCTTTTTGGGGGGGCTTTCAGGGTCTAGGGTTTGTAGGGTTTAGGGTGTTTTTGCTCTAGGCGTTTCGGGGCTTTTCGTTAGGGCTTAGGGTTTAGGGTTTAGGGTTTAGGGTTTAGGGTTTAGGGTTTAGGGTTTAGGGTTTAGGGTTCAGTGTTTTGGGCGGTTTGGGGCTTTTTGCGGTTGAGGTTGAGGGCTTGGGTCTCAGCACTCCCACCCAGGCCTCCAGAGCACGGACGACGAATTCTTAGGGCTCTTAGTGTTCAGGGCATCGGGCTTCTGGGCTTCGTTAAGGGGCCTTTTCGGGTTTTTCATAGAAACCCTAAAACCTAAACCCTAAACCCTAAACCCTAAGGTTTAGGGTTGGTGGTTTAAGAAGGCTTGGGTCTCAGAACCCCTAAAACCCGTTGGGGGCTTAGGCTTAGGGCTTGGAACGGGTGTAAACTTAGCCAGGACCTGTGATTAAGAACCAAAGCAAGCCCCCCTCCCCCTCCCCGAAAAGAAGACGAAGAAACCTTACAACCCTAAAAATATCCTAACGCCCGGCCCTACACCCCTTAGCTCCTCCCTAAAAGCCTAAAACTCTAGAACTAAACCCTCAACACTAAAACCCTAAACCCAAAACCATAAAACCCTAAACCCTGGCCCCCTCTTTTCTTTTGCGCACACAGGGTCGGAAAATCCGTGCGCCTTTTTTGTGGCTGTGGAGGCATGGTTGGTGCCTTAGGGCATGAGGCTTTAGGGCTTAGGGTTTAGGGTTTAGGGTCAGAGACTAGGTGTTCAGGGGGTGGTACGCTTTAGGGGTAGGGCGGGGTGGGGTTTCGGGGAGCTCGGAGCTGCTCAGCAAAGCTTAAAACATCGGGCGCGCGCCCCTTTTGAAGTGCGCGAACACCTGAGCTGTCTAGGCCGCAAGGGTGACGTACTGTTCCGGATGTGGGATAACCTCTGAACACCTGGGATCTGCACCAAAGCCATCTGCTGCTACACACGTCCATACGAAAGCACATCCTCTCGCGGCGGCTCATAACAACAAAAACTTCCGCCATTGCATTTCACAACAGCCTCATGCGGTGCACAAGTATTGGACTACTGGAAGCATGCTTCAAGCTCCGCAGAAAAAATGGCAGGCGGGCTGTCTGCCAAGGGCATTGGGGCCGCTCAACAATCGTGACTCAAGCAGCTTTTGAGGGTTTTCGTTGCTCAGGCTTAGGGTCGAACAGTCAGTGGTGTCCCTAAACCCTAAACCCTCAACCCTATACCCTCAACCCTAAACTCAAGCTTGTTTCTGCTGGAGGGAACTAGGTTTCAGGGCTGGGTTTCTTTGAGGGCTCAACCCGGTGATGCCGGGATTCTGCTGAGAAGAAAGCCCCCTACAACACCCTGCCAACGGTACACCCCTCAGAGCCCTAAGCCCTAAACACGATCATACGACTAGACCCAAGAGTAACCTGGGGATGAAAAGGGTGCCCTTTTTTTGGGTTTGTGAGGGGCTTCTTAACGGAACCTAGACCCTAAACAAAGGGAATAAGAGCCTGCTCTGGGTCCTAAGACGGAACCTAAAACCCTAAACAAAGGGAATAAGAGCCTGCTCTGCAGGGTTTAGGGTTTAGGGTTTAGGGTTTAGGGTTTAGGGTTTAGGGTTTAGGGTTTAGGGTTTAGGGTTTAGGGTTTAGGGTCATGGGTCCTAAGACCATCTCAGACTAGCCCAGCCATTGGCAGCAGCCGCCCACGAGGCGCAGCAGAGGATCAAGGCAGGTCGTTTCCGCCACAGTCCCAGCCTGGCGAGGGCTTACGGTTTAGGGTTTAGGGTTTAGGGTCTAGGGTCTAGGGTCTAGGGTCTAGGGTTTAGGGCCTAGGGCCTAGGATTTAGGGTTTAGGGTTTGAGGTTCAGCAGCTCCGGATTTACGGCTCTGATATAACACCCACCCAGAGAATCCCGTAATCTTCAGAAAACAAATACAACTATTCTCCAATCATCTCAGCTTCAAAGGCCTATGCTTGAAACGAACGGACATAGCAAAAACACCTCATTTTGTTACGCTCATTTTCTTGCCATTGCATCTCTTGCGCTGGCCTTGCCCTAAACGCCAGGCCTTGAGGCCCTGACACCCTAAACCCCAGACCTCGAGGCCCTGAAGCCCTAAATGCCAGGCCTTGAGGCCCTGAAACCCTAAACCCCAGGCTGAGCACAGACGATTGGCCTTGAACCACGAAAAACTGGCCATGAACCACGAATTTCTGGCTATGAACCACGAGTTTTGGGCCATGAACCACGAGTTTTGGGCCATGAGCCACGAACGATTTGGCCGGGAACCTGGTCTTCGTTCGTGGTTCATGGCCATTTTTTCCTGGTTCATGGCCATTTGTTCGTGGTTCGAGGCCAAAACGGACGATTGGCCATGAACCACGAGTTTTGGGTATGAACCACGAGTTGGGCCATGAACCACGAATTCATTCAGGTTTAAATTATCATATGATAGAGAGGTTTAGGATTTAGGGTTTAGGGTTTAGGGGTTTAGGGGTTTAGGGTTTCGGGTTGCTTGGGTCCCTTTTCTGTAGGCTAAGCTTGAAAGTGATCCTTGAGGGCTCCGTCAGCAGTGTCCCCTCCCACATACATAAGGACAATGTAAGGGGGTAGACCGGGGAAACCAATATAGGGGCCTCAATGATTAGAATAGGGTTTTGGAAGTTATTGTGGTATAATGATAGAGGGACCATAAGGGAACACTGTGCGTAATTCTTCCGACCCTCACAGTACCCCACCTGAAACCCTAAACCCTAAACCCTAAACCCTAAACCCTACACCCTACACCCTAAACCCTAAACCCTAAACCCTAAACCCTAAACCCTAAACCCTAAACCCTAAACCCTGCCTTCTGATGCTTCTCGAGCGTCCGGTCCGGACGTTGCGCCCTGGAGGGATGTCCCAGACGCGCAAGGTTGGAGTAGATGGCCTGCCGGGGCTGAGGGTTGAGGGTTGAGGGTTGAGGGTTTAGGGTTTAGGGTTTAGGGTTTGAGGTTTAGGGTTTAGGGTTTAGGGTTTAGGGTTTAGGGTTTAGGGCTTAGGGTTTAGGGTTTAGGGTTTAGGGTTTAGGGTTTAGGGTTTAGGGTTCAGGGTTTAGGGTGAAACCGCAAGGGGGTTAAAGGGTCTAAGGGTTTAAGGGAGTCCCTAACTCCCAAGCCTGAACCCTGAACACAAAACCCGTAAAGTCCTAAACCAACTTTCCCCGAACATAAAGCCCCCATCCCCCGTTAAAAGAAAGCCCTATAACATCAGACCTTGCCGCCTCGAAGACAAGGCTCTCAAACCCAAACCGCCCCCTCGCCCTCACATTGATGCACCTAAACCCTAGACCCTACACCCCTAAACCCTTGAACCCCTACAACCCCAAACCCAAAACCCTAAACCCTAAACCTTAAATTAAACCCTAAACCCTTAAACAATTGATCCCCTAAACCCTGAACCCCTAAACCCTTGAACCCTGAACCCCAGGTCCTTGAGTAAGCTAGGAGTTGAAACTGTGCGACTTTCTTTGTTTCATAGGCTGGTAAGGGAAACCTGACCTCAAACAACGAGAAGGCCCTTGGAAACCCCAGAACCCTAAATCCCTACAAACCCCAAACCCTTTAACCCCTAAAACCCCAAAAGCCCCAGAACCCCCACCTAAACCCTAAACCCTAAACCCTAAACCCTAAACCCTAAACCCTAAACCCTAAACCCTAAACCCTAAACCCTAAACCCTAAACCCTAAACCCTAAACCCTAACCCCTAACCCTAAACCCTAAACCCTAAACCCTAAACCCTTGAAAACCCCCTTAAAACTGGCTCTCCCGCCTGCCGCAAGGCCAGTTCCCTGGGGTCGCAGGGGTGCAACCCGATGCGGTTCCTCTTCAGTTTAGGGTTTAGGGTTTAGGGTTTAGGGTTTAGGGTTTAGGGTTTAGGGTTTGGGGTTTAGGGTTTAGGGTTTGGGGTTTGGGGTTTGGGGTTTGGGTTTAGGGTTTAGGGTTTAGGGTTTAGGGTTTAGGGTTTAGCGTTTGGGGTTTAGGGTTTAGGGTTTAGGGTTTGGGGTTTGGGGTTTAGGGTCTAGGGTTTAGGGCTTGGGGTTGCGGGTTTAGGTCTTTTGGGCTTTAGTAGGTCTAGGGCTTCGGTTGAAATTTGACGGTCCTTTAGAAAACACAGACAACGAAAAATCAAAACTATCTTCCCAAACAGCCCAGGTGCGTGCAGTAGGCATACGCCAGCTCCGCGTCCGGATCGGCCAAAGCCATCTGCCCACCCGCCCCAGGGGCACCGAAGCTCTTGTCACTGCTGCCAAAACTGCCTTAGGCTGTCCCCTGGGATGTTCCCCCTTATTCAAACAGTCCTTAGTAACCCCCCTATTATAATCCTTATGAAGGACTGTTCGTATAAGGGATGCGACCCTTAAACCCAAAAAATCCTTATTGGGAACCCTGAACCCTAAAGCCCTCAACCCTAAATTCAATGAGGGAAACTTCAAACCCTAAACCCTAAACCCTAAACCCTAAACCCTAAACCCTAAACTCTAAACCCTACACACAAGGGCCGGCCTAGCGGCCCTCAGAGCTGCACCGACTAAATCCCAGGGAGAGGGCCGTCGGCGCCTGTGCGACCACGTCGAAGCGCTCTTCCACGGGCTCAC